CACTCAGAAGCGAGGCTCCGCCCATCCCACAGAAACTCGGTGCTTACATTTCCTCTAACGTAGAATTCTGGTTGCGTTCTCCACATGTGTGCTGGGGTCATAAAGAACGTATTTGTTCTGCAGCTATAAACTTGGATGGATTTATCTCCCTAAAAGGTAGCCAAGAATGTATTTATTTACAACAAAATTTAAGTAGGGGGCTATTTACAAGAATGGACTTTTAATACCTGACAGCCAGATGAAAAAGAGACACTCCGGTTACCTGTGCTCATTGGCCTCGCGGCCTCCCAGCCTTCTGTATCACTTACATTGGTTCCCCATTCTTCTACCATTGTTATTTCTTCTCAAGCTGTTTGGTAAATTCAGGGTGACCAACTTGGACCAATTGGCCCAGACTGTCCGGATTTTAAAACAAAAATTCCCGCATCCCAAGAACCATCTCAGTCCCAGGCAAACCAGGGCATTGGCCACTGTCGGCATAGCCTGGGGCTCAAAGGGTTGGTTCTCTGTGCTACTTGGTGGCTAGCAGTCCTGTGTTTCCAGACATGTTTACTGTGTGAGTCTTTCTCCCCCTCTTTTCCTCAACCTTAATTCTTCTGGCTATTTTGTTAGGAAAGCATCAACCAGGAGTAGACAAACCCGATCCAAAAACATGGAAGGCGAATTTCCGATGTGCCATGAACTCCTTGCCTGATATTGAAGAAGTCAAGGATAAAAGTATAAAGAAAGGAAATAACGCCTTCAGAGTATACCGGATGTTGCCCTTATCTGAGCGGCCTTCTAAAAAAGGTAGACACACAGACTTGCTAATGCCGTGATCTCTTGATAGAGATTTATAGATTATAGCGCCTTTGGGATTTCCTTATTTCCACATCTGTAGTTCGCACTGTGGAAGGTAATCCTGCCCTTACCTGGCTGGGGGAATGACTCTCGGGTCACCAAAGGCAGGAAAGCATTTAGAATTTTGGCCGTGTACAGATTAATGCGTGTACAGATTAATGCATGTACAGGTTAACACGTGTACAGGTTAACACGTGTACAGTTTAACACATGCACGGCTTCTAGGAGAGTTTTAGAAAGCGTTTAATTTAGGGGAGCTGTTTCTCTGTATGTTCTTCATGCATTAACCCCAAACTATTTTCTGTTGCCACAGGAAAGAAACCAAAGACAGAAAAGGAAGACAGAGTTAAGCACATCAAGGTAATCATTGGTTGCTCAGGAAGAAGGCTAAAGTTGTGAACGTATAAACGGTTCCTGTTCTGTCTCGTAAAAACCAATAACGTGACCCCTATGAAGTATTTGATCTTTGTTCTTTTGCAATGTGTGTGTTTTATGTGCTTTACACGTCTCCTCTTTGGCACGGACCCACTTGCAGACTCCGGTACACATATCCCTGCTTCACGCAGTTTCACTGAGAAGTCTGTGAATGAAGTCACCAATTCGCACAGAGCTGGCCAGTCTCAAGCCTCCCCCTGGTCCCCACACCATCGCCAGCTGGTGACCTAGTGCCAGCTAAGCTGCAGCAGCCAGCTACTATCTGATAACCTGGAAGTACATTTCCAGGTTATCAGATATGTTTGAAGGTATATTACATGTTATATACTTGTATTAACTGTGTCACCTATATTTTATAGATCTATTCCATGGGAGGCCATTG